CCTCAATCTATTTATCAAAGCCTTATTATTCATAGTTTGATTTTCCAATGCGTGTCCCATTGCCAAATCAACTTTGACTCCCTGAGTTAAACATTACGAGAATAATGCTTGCCTGCCTGTGTCTGTTCACAAAGTAAATTTAATTTCGCTTAACAATTTGCGTGTAAGTGAATATTAACTTTGCACCAACAGCGAAGAAAACCTGTTGTTTACGTGTCCAGAGAAAGTGGCACGGAGATTTAAAGATCCGCTGAGATCGTTATCACTGTTTCCGTTAACTGCAGCACAAAGCTGCTATTTGAATTAAGTTAAATTGAACTCCGAACGAACCGAGAGTTTAAGCGCCACATCGCAAAACCAACCAAAAGCGGTGTTGTTATTTGTACAGTGTTGAAATGTGCCAACATTTCATGTAACATGCTTAACTGTACTTGCAATGCAACTATTCACATGCTAACACAGTAGAGTTGATTTGGTTGCCATAGTTACGATCGTGACACGGAAGTCTGAACCTACTTCCGATGCAACTCTGAACTGCGCACGCGCAGCACAGCGACACTATTGGTAAACAAACCCCTACGGTGTGGCTAAGCTAACGAAACAGTTGTTTACATTGAAGTCTATGCTAAAGCCTTTAGCCTCAAAGGTTAGCAGTTAGCATTAACATCCAGTGGTTGAACGCAGTGTCTGTTTGGGCAACGATAAAGTGATTTAACCCTTTAAACATCTGAACTAATACACCTGTTGGTCTCTTTCTCTCTCTTACTCCTCCCTTTTCTCACTTCATCTTACTTTACTAGAAAGGGAAATACTGACTCACAATTATTAATTGTGCCAAATTCAAATTTAATTAAAACATTACATTTATTTGGAATCGTGTCCGTAGTTGAGCATAACAGCATCAGAGCCTGCTAGTGGACACCATCCACTCAGTTTACTGAGTCTCCTTCCCTTTTCTCCTGTTCTCTCCTGCTTTCTTTCCTCTTTCATGTTCAACAACCACCCAGAACGAGCAAGTCTCTCACTGCCAACGGTTGATGAAAACTCTGCGGTACCAAAGAACATCACCTCAGTCACCCACCGCTCACTAACTAACTGTCAAGTTAACTCCAACTCCAAGAACCACATTCCTGTCTGTGCAACAGCAACCACCCAAGCACAGAAGGTCAGAAAGTCTGCCACAACCAGAAGGCATCACAAGAGAAATGCAACATAGGAGACAAAGTTTGCACCCCAGCTTCACACAGCCATGCCAAACTAGCTCTGACTGTCTGCTAAAGAACTTCCTGCCTTGCTGGACTGACCCCCATTAGATCATGGACACGCCCTCATCCAAGCCAAGGATGCAGAGAGCCCGTCTTCACTGACATACAAGAAAAGGGGGGAGACAACACAGACTGAAACAGATCTGACCACACATACACTACACCATTAACACACACACAACATTACCTACACCCAGAGGTAACCACATCTACTGATAACACATTCAACTAACATTTTCTTCCCACAAGTAGAATATCCAAATTTTAGCGTAACATAAAGTTACATATGCCCACCATGAAGAAATATGCAGCCATCCTCACAATAGGTAGAACAC